CTGCAGGACATCAGAGACATGAAGACAGACTGCAGGACATCAGAGACATGAAGACAGACTGCAGGACAACAGAGACATGAAGACAGACTGCAGGACATCAGAGACATGAAGACAGACTGCAGGACACACAGAGACATGTAGACAGACTGCAGGACACACAGAGACATGAAGACAGACTGCAGGACACACAGAGACATGAAGACAGACTGCAGGACACACAGAGACAGGTCTGATGGAGACACATGGTCCTGCTGAGGACAGACTGCAGGACAGACAAGTTTTTACACATTTTCCACATGTGCTGCTGCCATCAAATTCAAAATTGCACTTTTAGATATTCATAGTTTAAAGATTTGACGTGTTTCATGTGAATAAAATATGGGTTTATGAGTTTTACAAACTATTGCATAACGTATTTTTCTTTTCACACAGTGTTGTAGTTCWTTTTATGTTTTAATCTGATCAACATGGTTCATTGTGTGTAGCAGCATGCAGGGGATGACCTGTTAAAGGACAGTCTGAGTGTGGACAGGATTCACCTGAGAAACAGTTGCTGTAAATGTTGCCCTGCTCCACATGGTTGTTCAGCTTGAGGCCGCTGTGAACGTCGTACATACAGTCCAACACTTTGCTGTAAGACAGAGAGAGGTGGAGACAACGACACAGTGTGTGTGTGTGTGTGTGTGTGTGTGTGTGTGTGTGTGTGTGTGTGTGTGTGTGTGTGTGTGTGTGTGTGAGGAAACAGTGGTTTACCTCAGGTTGATGTTTTGTAGCTCAGATCCAGCAGGACCTCTCTGACCTGTCGGCTGCCCTCCATCAGCTGCCTGCAGCTGGTTGACAGCAGCTGTGATGCCAGCAGCCCAATCATCTCTGTCCTCTCTGGAACAAGCCTCCAAATAATGATCCACCCCGGCCTTAGTCTGGACTTTAAACACCAACTATTCAAACCACGAAACAAAAGATCAGTGTTTCCCACAGAACTGTTCCAGTGAGGCCAAAACACAGATTACAGGTTGTTCCTAAATGTTAGGTAGATGATGCAGATCAGGTTGGAACAGAACAGAAACCTGAGGCTATAAATGTTCTCGTCAGAAGCAGTGAGGTGGAGTGTTTTCTACCAAAACAAAGGACCATAGAAACTAAACTCATGTCTGAAGGAATGGTAAGAGTGAAAAYGCAGCTACTGCCTGAAATTTCAACCTCCATCAACTTTCTGTAACAAAGAGCCAATCTGATTGAAGAGTTTATTAAAGGGAGTGATCAGGAGTGTACAACCTGCAGCTCTTTGGCTCTATGTGTCCCTGTGCAACTGTGACCAACAAGAACAAAGATGGAGACTAGTATTTATACTTAAAACCACAACAGAAAACGCTGACTGTAGCAGTTTTCTGCAACATGTGAATAAAATTAGAATGATACATGAGACAAACAACATGCACCAGTTCATTGATCCTTTAATTAACACCTTCCAGTGTTCACCTGTGAATGAAACACTGTTTAACCAAGAAAATAACAGGAAAACACAAAGTGTATTTTACTCTGTCCTGACTTACTGAAAGCAGTGTTCCAATGGGTTCATTTCAAGAACAATGAAAATTAAAAATCAAATCTTCTTTTATAGACTTTTGTAGTTGTTCCAGAGTTGCGCCGCTGAGGGTGGCAGCACGTTGGAGTAGCTCTGTTACTTTTATTGAGATTTTCTTTTCTTTGCAGGCGTTCATTCCTGCCTTTCTGCGGAAAAAGTAACATTTTTGGATGGCTGTTCATTTGTGTTTTGGGTGCTGTGCAGCTGGATTGGTTTTTGCCAATACTTTTTTATGCTTTGCTTTTTGTTATGATGCGTAACCATAGCAACAGGGTGATTTACAACAGGGAGCAGCTGATTAATATTGCAAAATCTGAAATAACACATCAACTGAAGCCGCAAGTCCCAGAGGAGTTGAAAAGGAGGCATCGTGGATGCAGAGCTGGAGCAAAGAGGCGAGAGAGRAGGAGGAAGTTCAAACCATCACTTCCATCAATCCTAATGGGCAACGTGAGATCATTAGCTAACAAACTGGATGAACTTCAAGCCCTGACAAGGACTCAGCAAGAGTATAGGGAGTGCAGTATTATGTGTTTCACTGAGACATGGCTGCATGATCATGTCCCTGATGCCAACATCTCTCTGCCAGGCTTTCAGACTATACGAGCAGACAGAGATTTAAAGAGCAGCGGGAAAAAGAAAGGAGGTGGATTAGCGGTGCTTGTCAACAACAGATGGTGTCATCCAGGACATGTTCCTGTGAAGTTTTGTCACTGCAGTCCAGACATTGAACTCTGGGCAGCAAGTTTCTGTCCATATTATTTACCAAGAGAGTTCACCAGTGATATTGTGGCAACTGTTTACATTCCACCCTCAGCTGTTGCTGACAATGCATGTGATATCATCAGTTCCGTTGTTGCTAAGATACAGACACAACACCCCAATGCATTTGTGGCAATATCTGGTGTTTTTAATCATGCCTCACTCTCTGCTACACTGCCAACCTTTCAACAGCTTGTCAGCTGCTCTACCAGAGAAAACAAGACATTGGATTTGTTTTACACAAATGTTAAGGATTCTTATATCGCCAATGCAAGACCTCCTCTGGGTAATTCAGATCACAGCCTTGTTTATCTCTGCTCAGAATATAAACCACTTGTTCAGAGACAACCTGTAACTACAAGGACTGTGAGAAAGTGGTCACAGGAAGCTGAAGAAGCCCTACAGGGATGTTTTGAAGCTACAGATTGGATTGTTCTTTGCCAGCCACATGGAGATGACATAAATGCCATGACTGAGTGTGTGACTGACTATATAGACTTCTGTGTGGACAACACCATCCCCAGCAGAACAGTGAGATGCTTCCYTAATAACAAACCCTGGATCACCAGTGAGCTAAAGGAACTGTTAAACTAGAAAATAAGAGCCTTTAGGGATCGAGACAGGAAGTTATTGAGGAGTATACAGAAGCAGCTCAAAGTCAAGATCAGAGACAGCAAGGAGGTTTATAGAAGGAAGCTGGAGAGTAAACTGAAAAGGAACAATATCAGAGAGCAGATCTTCTACAAGTCTGTTGTTGAGAGCGTCATCTCTTCTGCAGATCTTCTACAAGTCTGTTGTTGAGAGCATCATCTCTTCTGCCATCATCTGTTGGGGCAGCAGCATCAGATCCAGGGACCTAAAAAGGCTAAACAACCTGATAAAGAAGGCTGGTTCTGTTCTGGGGACGACTGTGGAACCTCTGGAGATGATGGTGCAAAGAAGGATTTTACATCAAATCAAGAACATTGTGGACAACCCTGACCATCCTCTTCATCAGACTGTCATAGAAAGACAAAGTGTCTTCAGTCGGAGGCTTCTTCAACTTCACTGTAATACAGACCTACAGAAGATCTTTCCTGCCCACAGCCATCAGCATCTACAATAAGTTTTTAGTTCAATGACTTACAACACCTAATTTACCTCTGGGATCAATAAAGTCTTTTTGAATTGAATTGAATTAAATTGGCTCATACTTTGTATGAATGTGATGCTTTAAACCAGGGTTATTCAACTAAACTGCTCTGGGGGGCCACAGTTACTGCAGACCAACAGCTGAGGGGCCCAACATCCAGCAATTAAAGTTATTCTGTAAATAAACCAAGTATTACAAACATCTGTTACCTTTGAATTAGTTTATTTTGCTGCATTTAATCATGAACACAACATACAGAACCTATAATAGTAGTGATAATTAAACATTATCAAAAACAAAAAGAACACATTCTGCCTCCTATTATTAGACACAAATAATATTTTAACATCTCTGACTTGAATAATTTTAAACCAATTTTATTTTCACTTTCTTCATTTTATCTTCAACTGCTTGTAGTTTTAACTGTCTTAAACGTTCATAGAAATGGTTTTTACCAGRTTCTAGCCAAAACTCTGATGTTTCTGTAGATACCAAACATGTCTGTGTTTAACTAAAACAACTTAGAGTAATTAAAGTAGAAAACCGGGGATTTGGGCTTAACAGATGAATGAACCAATCGGCGGGCCGAACTTTGGTCACCTGCGGGCCACATCCGGCCCGCAGGCCGCCAGTTGAATAGCCCTGCTCTAAACTTTTTTTTGCTTTTATTGTGAAGCATTTTGTGATTCTATATCTATGAAAGGTGCTACATAAATAAAATGTACTCAGTTTATTAAAGACAACCTCCAGTTCCCAGAAATGTTTATTTTATAACAAATTTCAGGAGATTTGTTGTGTTTTTGTCATATACAGTTTTTTTTTTTTTTGACAAATACAGCAATACTGGAGTTATGAAACCTTCTGGTACTACTTTGTTTTTTCTGTTGATATTACTTACTGAGAAAAAACACTGTTACTCCTCACCACAATTAAAATTGTCCTGTCTTAAATGTTGGTTTTAGACTGTCTTCATTTAGAAAGAAATAAAATAAATCCACAGTTTGAAGTCCTTATTACACAAAAAACATGTTTGTTTTTATGATTACTGGTTCTACTAATCCTAAATAACAGGGGAGGCATGCATTTTTAACATTTTTCAGGCATGGATTTTGGCCCAAGGTAACCCTGGGTGAAAAAAGACTAATTGACCTGATTTTTAAACTGAATAAGAAATGACACTGGATGAAAAAGTTAAAGTTGTGTCGTCGTGTAAAACTCAACCTTTTATTTAAACTTTGTTCGATGTTTGTGTTTCTGCAGGACTGAAGTCTAAAGATGGGTTTTCTCATGTATTCTGATCAGTCCGAGGAAAAGTGTGTGTGTGTGTGTGTGTGTGTGTGTGTGTGTGTGTGTGTGTGTGTGTGTGTGTGTGTGTGTTGTGTTGCTCAGTGCAGAGTCAGAGTTGCAGATCGTT